ATTAAGTCTGACCTGGCAGGGGCACTCTATCCTCCCTCCCAAAGTTGTTCTGTTCCCAAGGCCCACAAGGAACCCTGAGGGAGAAGCAGCCAACTGGGATTGGTGCTGGCATCAGGGCCTGGGTCCTAGTTTAGCAGAGCTTCCCCCCAACACAAAAATAAACAGGCAGAAAGGCGATCTGGCCAGGTTCCCAAACTCCCGTGGTTCCCTGAACCCCCAGTCTTTAAAGAGGCACAGCCCAGACACCAGGCCTCAGTTCTGCCCCGGCGACTGGCTCAGGTTCCCTTGACAGACCCTGCCAAAGGAACCCTCCTCAGCTCTGGCACCCCTTTCTCCAACCTAAAGGCCAGCTCCGGCCAAGATAGTCCATCTGGCTATGCCCCCAGTCCAACCCTTTCTGGGCCCTGGCCGGGCAGACTTCACTCACCTCTTCACAGGGCGATCCAGAAATCCTCATCCGAGAACATGGCCAGAGCCCGGGCCGCTCCCCGACCTCCAACCGCCAGAGCGATCACAGCCGCCCCCCGCACGGGGGGGCTTAGGGGGGCCAAGAACGGTAAATCCAGGTCGGAGTGGCCACCCTCCTCCCCCCCCCAAAAAAGCAAGAAGCCAAAGAAAGGTTCTCTGCCTCGGGTTCCAGCAGTTTAGGTTTCCATGGACAGCCCCAGGGCGGCGAATCCCGAGCGGACACAAAGAGAGCACCGGTGGCTTTGATCTTGGGCGAGCAGGCTCCGCATCCGCGTCGCCGGGCGGCCTCTCAGTCCTAGGGCCGGGCCAGCGCCCCGGCCGCCCGCGCCGGGCTCGGGCGGAACGTCGAGGCTCTCCAGATGGAACGTCGAGGCGCCTCCCCAGCAGCCCGGAAGGAATGCCGCGCCGCCCCGCGCCGGGCCCGGATGGAACGTGAGACCCTCGCTGGAGCGCCGAGCCCCTCTCCCCGCCCGGGCCGGCGCCCCGGGGCCGCGCGAGCTACGGCGACGCGGAGCCGGCGGGGCCGCGGGGCTGAACCTGACACACACCCAACGCCGGGCTCCTCGACCCCGAGCGCTCGCCCTCTGAGGCTTCGAGCCCCCCACCTTCTGCTCCCCCCCCCCCGGGGAAGGGAGGAAGGTAGGTGGGCGAGGAAGAGGAAGGGGCGGGCGGTGCGAGCCCTCTGCCCGCTCCCCTCCGGCCGCTCCAGGCCCGGCGCTCGCCTCCCTTCCCCTCTGGCCTCGGGAGCTGCCCCGCCCCCGGCCTGGCCGGCTCTGATCGGCGGCACCCCTTCGACCCCCGGCTGGCTGTGATCGCGGGGGGCCTAGAGGTGCATGGCCCAACCCCGGCTCCCGGCACCGGGGGGTCAGGAAACTGAGCGGAAAGTGGGGAACGAGGCAGCCATTTGCAACCGGAGAGGAAAGTAGTGCAGCGCGGCGCCGCTCCGCCTCCCCCCCTCCGCCTCCTGTTCGGCCGGTAGGGTGGTTCCTGCGAAGGGGCTATTTCCTGGCCCAAGATCTCGGCAGCGGTCGTGGAGATTCGGGAAGCCTCCGGCGCGAGATCCGGGGGGGCCTTTTGCCTGGGGAACCCCACTCTAGAAGCGGAGAAAGGAGAAGACGCGGCCCTATTTTGTGTTGGAGCGGAGCGGCGGAGGGATACGGCCCTCTCGGAGGAAAGGTTGTGACTCTGCAGTTCTACGCACACGCTGCGGGATCCCTCCGCTTCGGGTTAACCCCGACTGCGCCGGGCCGGCCACTGTGCAGACACGTGGGAATGAAGCCCCCCTCCTCTGCGCCCCGGCCCTGGACCTGCCTCCTTCACCGCCCGGCTGGTGAAACTAGGACTCCGGCCACTTTCTAGTTCCGTTCCCTTGCAGTTCTCGGCCCCTGAAACCACCTGCCCCCTTGCCTTGGCCAGGGGCAATCTTTCGCGGGAGGGGGATGGAAGAAGAGCCAGGAGATTGGCCGCTGCTCTGCATCCTGGGAACTGGAGTCCGCAAATGGAGAAAGTGAGGCACGGCGCCTGGCGCTGCAATGGGTGGGTTCTTGCCACGTTCGGGGGCCCGAAGGAAAGCGGGACGAGTACCTAGTCGTTCCTTCTGGCTCTCAAACCCCCTCCTGAGGAAAGAAGAGTCAGTGCCCACACAATCACCACACACACACCTCCCCCATCAAAACATAAATGTGGAATTTCCTTCCTTTCCCGGGTGCTCCCACTCCGACCCCCAGTCTTTCTCTCGGGACCTTCAGGCCCTGTGTCCCCTTTTCTAGTAAACAGAAGGGATGGACCTTGGAGCCTTGTTGCTACCTGGCCGGAGTGCTGTTACTCTAGACAAGATCCCAAAACACTACTTGCAGGCATTCCCCCACACACCCCAATAAGTCTGGGCAAGAAGGGATTGGAATGCCTTTTCTGCATTAGCTGTAACCACGGCTGAACAGAACGAGACAAATTAACTATGTGCTAGATACTTAATATATTCTTAGTTATTTCTCACCCTCGTTATGAACTAAGTGGAATTAAGTCTATGATGATGAGATTGAGGCTAAATAAAATAGGCAAAATTTCCCAACGGACCACATCAAGTGACATCCATGGGTCAAACCAATGGCCATGTTTTTCCTAGGATTATATATATTTATATAATAAAAAAAATTTTTTTAAGGAGGACGTGGAGAAAGAGGCAAATCAGGTACAGGGCTGGTTTTGTGGGAAAGGGTTTACAGTGTTGTCCTATAGAATTTTCGGCAATGATGGAAATGGCACTAGAGCTACACTAATTTGGCTTAGCCACATGTAGCTATTGAGCACTTTGAAATGTAGGTGGTGCAACTGAGGACCTTTTTGTTTAATTTTAATACTAAATTAAAACTATGTGAAATGTGGCTTCCATATTGGACAGTGCAGAAAACCTAAATCCGTACCAACCAGTCAGGTTCATAGGAGGGATCAGAACTAGGCATATCCTGTGCTAGCCACACAGTGGCATCATATACCCTGCACTGACCATGCAGTTCTAGTTCAGCAAAAAAAGTCCAGGGGCGACCCACACCTGTCCCAGCTATAATGAATAAATTAACTGAGACAGGTTGGAAAATGGGGGCGCGTGCCTGGCTCAGTCAGTACAGCACACTCTCTTTATCTTGGGGTTGCAAGTTCGAGTCCTACATTGGGTGTAGAGATTACTTAAAATCTTTAAAAATAAATAAACTTTTTAATTTTAAAAAAGTTGGAAAATGGAAGGTCCCTCTCTACTCTATACCCAGAGGCCGGGAGGCTGACCTTCACCAAAAAGACCTCCCATAATATAGCCACTGTTTCTTAAGGGTTTATTATGTATGAGAGACTATGCTAAGCATTTCATATATCACCCCAATTTAATTCTCAACTCAACCTTATGAAGGTTTAACTGCACTTCGTAAATGAGAAACTGAGGCTCAGCCAGGTTAAGTGACTACACAAGGTCATACAGCTAAGTGGAAAAGTATTCCAACCTAGCCACTAACTACTATTCATGACTTTTATCAGGCCTTTGAGATTGCTTGATACACTTTTAGAAAACTTCAAACATTTGTAAGTCTATCCCAGACCTCATGGAAAGGGCAGCAGGGCAATAGACAACCTATAGTGAGTATTCCAGGTCAGATGTGCAAAAGGACCTCATTTTAATGTAAGGAGAGTGTGGTGACAACCCTAAAAAGAATCCTAAACCACTGAGATTGCTCTTTGGAGAATGCTCCTTCCAGCAGCCCTTATTTTTTAGATTCTAGATTAGAGATGCAAAAGCAGCCGGCAAAACTTTCGAAAACTAGCATGACACACAATCGCCCCAACTGTAAGCCCAGCTAGCCAAGAGTCGGGCTCCAGCAAGATCACGGCTAAGATTTTGCCCATCCTCCCCAACTAAGTGCATGGACAGGGTACCTCAGACTCCCTCACGTGGCAAGAGAAGTCTGTGTTCTCCCTGTGAGGGATACTATTCCAGTAACACTCATAAGTCCTTGGAGGAGGTATTAGGCCAGTTAGGACCTAGGTCTGATGGGGGTGGTGGATGAGCAGAAAAAGTAGAGGCAGCTAGGACCAATTCTTCCTAGCTGAAACGTCCACCCTCTTACTGAGATGGCAGGTTAAGAAGAAAGAGTAGAAGTAGGGGCGCCTGGCTGGCTCAGTCCGTTGAGCAGTCAGCTCTTAATTTTGGCTCAGGCCATGATCTCAGGGTCATGAGATCGAGCCCCCGGAATCTCGAGAGTATCTCTCTCCCTCTCCCTCTGCCCCTCCCCCTCCCCAGGCTCAGGCACATGCTCCCGCATGCTCTCTCTCTCAATAAATAATCTTAAAAAAAAAAAAAAAAACGGAAGCAATACCCTTTCACACCTAAAAAAGTGGCACAATTCCAAAAGTGTGAAGGGTGTGAAAAGGTCACCCAAGGTATGAAAAGACCAAAGAACATCAACTTAATGAAAGGCTCTGGGGACATGGGAGTGGAAGGATGGATACACAGCATTATTTCTTACTTTACTCAACTCTCTTAGAAAGCCAAAATCTTCACCAACACTTCAGTCCCTGCCTCTACACTCCTTCTCAATTATTACATCACTAGGATGAGGGGCTTCCTTCCTCCCCAAACCTTAGCCTCTCTCTGAGTGCCAGCGAATGCCAAGGCCCCAGGAGGGAAGCTAGGTCAGCATGCGGCAGCTGGCCACTAGAGGGCGGTATTTCTGTAGTTAAGGGGACCTTGAGCGTCTATAATCCTGGATGGAGTGGCAGCCAACTGGTACCGGCATAGGAGAACCTAGCAGAAAAGAAAGGTGAGAAAAACTAAGCAGTAAGTCTTAGGCTAATGGTCCTCCTGAATGAGTGAGGCACGAGGAATAGGAATGAAGTAGGAGGAAAGAGTTAGCCCTGATTCCCCACCAAAAGTCACAGTCACCACTCCTTGGAAAAGGAGATACTGGCCCTGAGCTCTCCCCACATACAGAGAAGCCAGCGACAAAAAGATTTCTCAGTTTATTTGCATATATACATTGTCACCCTAGGGAGCCAGCTCCACTTCAGGAATCCCCAGCTCCCCTCACCCAGCCAACGCCCAAAACCTGCACAGAAGACAGGGTCCTAAATAAACAATGCTTAGGACTCGTATCCCAACCCTGCAGGTTATAACAATTCATTTAGCAAAAACAGAGGACTAGAGGCCAGTCCCATGAGACATCCTTGCCCCATTGTAAACATTGACAACCAGGCCATTAGAGCCTGGAAAAGTGTGCAAACATGAGGGTACCACACTGTGTGACCAGAGGACCAGGGACACAGCTGGCAACCATACCCGTGAAGTCCTAAGGGCCTATACCCCCTGGAGCCTGGCAAGTGCCAGGGGCAGAATCAAGGCAGCTACCCAATGCCTGAGGGCTCACATGAGCCGGCAGCGGCGCTCTTGCCCATAGGAATTCTCTACCCGGGCAATCTCCTGGATGACTTTGGTGAAGATGCCTCGAGTCAGCTGCAAGGGACAGAGATTCGGGGTGGGGGGGGGAAAGTCAGTTCATTGCCAATACGACCCAGCTCTGAGGTGTATACCCCACTCCCCGACCATCCTCACCACCAAGCAGTGCCATAAGAAAAACACTGCTACCCTGATTGTGCCCCTAAGCTTCAGGCCAAGCACCTGGTTCTCTCGAGCAGATGACTCCATAAATGTCGCACCCCAGGACTCTGCCAGCTTCTTCCCTTCAACTGCCTGGACCTCCCTAGAAGCAAATTTGGAACATAAAGATGGAAGATAGCAATGTCCCCATGTTCTCTGCAAAATCATTATAGAATCTAGACTTCCTCTGACCCATCCTGTTTCTAAGGTTTGGGAGGTGGGTTGGGGAAGGAGAAAAATAAAGGAGAACTCAGAAGCCTAGGACTGAGGCTTGAAATATGAAATTATAGCTTTTGCGATAGAAGGGTTATCTTGCCTTAACCTTCAAGTTAGAAACAAAAAGAGGTGAAATGATTCATTCAAGTCAGTGGCAGAGCCAGGACTAGAGCCTGACTGTTAGTCCATCTCACTTTCCTTTGCCTTGAGCTATAGAGATCTCCGTACCTGTCTGGAGAGAGATCTGCTTTGTTTCCCACTAGCACCACCGGCAGCCTGTGAAGAAATAACAGTTACTACAGGATCCCCTTCCAGTCTGCCTGGAACCCAACTCCCTTCGCATCGGGGCTGGACAACTCCCCAGCAGATCAGACAGGATTTGTCCTGGTCTCCTCCCTCACTTGGACCCTCCACTCTCTTCCATCTCCTCATGTCCATACTCTGTCTCTATCTCCCAGGGCCACTTACCGAGTTTTCCCGTGGCCTTCATGTAGCTTTTGGTACAGACTCTCAATGACTTGGAAGCTTTAAACACAAGAAATGGAGCTATAAACTTATTCTGGGACAGCCCTCAGACGCTCCCAAGTCCCCCACTCATAACCTTGGTCACTTACCTATGCAGAGAGGTGACAGAATACACAAGCACATAACCATGGACCCCAATGATGAATGAATAGGGCAGAATGCTGTACTCATCCTGACAAGAAACAGAAACATCAACACCTAGATACACAACACTCAGATGGCAAAGGTTGGTGGGTTGCATCCTGGGGACCCTCCCTGGGGCACTCCCTACTCCAGTCATTTCTATTAGACAAGTATTTACAGAGTAGCTCCAATGTGCACTGCACACTACCGGCTGCTAAAATGCTTTTCTTTTAAAACTACTTCACAGATAGATGAGCCATGGAGGCAACCAGACTTCATCATCTCCCATTACTGAACTGCCACATTTAGATTACCCTACCCCAAACTGGTACCTGCCCTGCTGTGTCCACCAGGTGTAGGTGAAACTCATCTTTGCCAAGAGTCACTATCTTGCTGTAAGCTGAAAAGAAAAGAAAACTTGACTGTGAGGTGCCTTGTAGGGCTAGCAATGTGTGCCCCGATGCGTTCTTAACTCTAGGGGTGATATATAGATGGGCCAGGACCAGGGAGCACTCCAGGCAGCTGGAGAGACAATGTCAAGGTTCTTATTGTCTAATCTACACCATCCTGGATGCAGTATCCTGCAAAATCCACACTCCAGCTCAACTAATAGAACAAGATTGCTAGAGAAGAGATTATATTTAATGGATAATTAAATCGGCCCCTTGGCACCAGGAAAACCCCAGATTACAGAATTAGGTGGGGCAACAAAGACCTCCCTGCTCCATCCCTAGGGGAGAAATCTACTCACTGTTCTCCACTGTAGGATCATAGCCTTCCAGGAACTCGCCCTCCACAAACTGATGTGCCAAAGATGTCTTCCCTGTGGGAAGCAGTGGTAGTTGTATCCAAATCATCCATCCACATTTACATCCTCTGTCCTTTCGGACTGTGGCCCAGGACTAAAGAGGACCCCAAATTAGCACCCTAGCCTGTGGGTGCCATGCAATGTTTTTCCTTAGCCTACCCTCACCCTCTTTTCGCCTTGGGTCTCTGCACCCTGGCCACCGGATGCATTCAGTAGCGCCGCAGGAAGCCTTTCCTGCCGCCTTTCCGCACCCCACCCCCGGGAAGAGCCGGGATTCCCCTAGGATCAGGTCTGCCCCGCACCCGGACACCTGAGACTTGCCACCCACACAGACCGCGCCCCCGTCATCAAAGCCTGACCCCATCCCCACCCCTCCCAGGTTAACACAGGGGACCACTCTGGTGTTCCTGCAACCAAGCCCACATTAACCCTTACATGCTCCTACTTCCTGCAGCCCTCCACACACTACCACCACCCCAGCCTTTCCTCCTCCATCCTTTCAATCCTCGTCCTACAACCCCGTTCTAACGATGCCACCATTCCTCTCTGGGTCGCGTTCCCGCGACAGCGCGCCTCCTCTGGCCACAAAGCCGCGGTGCGTCCGTGCTCTCCCCAAGGCTGAGACTCACCTACAGAGCGGTACCCGAGGATGACCACCTTCCTGTAGCGAACTAGCGGCATGGCAGTAGCCGGCCCCGAGGGGCTTGCCGAACTGCGGGCTGAAAGAGCCCTAAGCAGAGGAGATCAGAGTGTAAGGCAGGCGCAGCAACCGGCACAGCAAAGTCGCTCACCCCGAAGCTGCCAGGGACAAGCTAGAGGGAAACCAAAACAAGCGCCGCGCCCGGAGCTGGCCACGTGATCACAACACAGCAAGACTAACGCGAGGGAGCCGGGCGCCGGGGGATCTACAGTGCCGCGCCGCTCCGGGCTCCGCCCCCCAGGCCGCTCGCCATTGGTTCATTAGAAAGAATAAGGGCGGGGCCGTCAGCGGGAGGGAAGGGTGGGCCTCACGTGGAGCAAGAGAACCAGGAGCTGCGCCTGCGCAGACTAGAGCCGGTTCATTCATAAAGAAACAGAAAGGAGCCCGGGGTCCTAGAGGTGTTTGCGCATTTTCAACCTAGCAGAAGCGGCTGCGAAGAATCGTGGATGGAAAAATATTCGTTGTGGCTGGGCTGGAATTTCTTCTCAGAAGATTCTAGGCTTCCCTTCTGCGAGGTCTCTGAGATCCTTGGATGGGGGGGGAAGGCCCAAATTCCAAAATATTACCTCTGTTTCCCCCAGACTTTGGCCCCAGATCTTTTATTGTCGATTTCCCCAGTCTACCAGGATCTTCGGAAATGCGATTCTTATTCTTGAGAAAGTCGTTAGAATTTGTGGCCAGGTCGTCTGAAATTTTGTTGTCATCATCATAATCAAATGCATTAATTTATTCAACAAATATTTATTATGCATATGCTATGTGTTTCAGGCATTGTTCTAGCTTTGGGGATAGAGTGAAGAACGTGACAGACGTCTCTGTGCTCACAAAGCTTAAAACCTAGTTGGAAGGGACAAACATATAAACAAGGAAATATTAGATGGTATTAAGTGATATAAAAGGTGGTATAATAAGAAATGGCCACATTAGATTAGTAATACTTCCTCTCAAAGGAATCCCTATTTAAATTGAGGTCTAGGGGCGCCTGGCTGCCTCAGTCGTCAAGCGTCTGCCTTCAGCTCAGGTCATGGTCCCAGGGTCCTGGGATGGAGCCCCGTGCCGCCCACCGGGCTCCCTGCTCAGCGGGAGGCCTGCTTCTCCCTCTTCCACTCCCCCTGCTTGTGTTCTCTCTCTCACTGTGTCTCTCTCTGTCAAATAAATAAAAATAAAATCTTTAAAAATAAATAAATAAATAAATTGAGGTCTGAAAGACAATAAGGAGCCAGTTAGCGTGAAGTTCTGACAGAAGAATCCATCAGTGCTATGGGTGCTACGATGAAAATAAATTTGTTAAATTTCAGGAGAAAGGGAGGGAGAGAGAGTGTGTGTGGACCTAAAGCAGATGAAATCTAAGAGGATGGCAGGGGCCAGGCCATGTAAAGAAGTTTGGGTACCCAGAAAGCAGTTGAGGATCTGAATATCTGAACTGTATTTCTAAAAGTTTTCCCTGGTTAAAAATAAATAAATAAATTTCTCTCATTGTGAAGAATGAGGGGGACAAGGGCAAGAGGGGAAGAAGGGAGATCAGCTAGGAGACTTACTTGTAGTCCAGGTGAGAGGTGAAGGGGGCTTGACTAGAGTTGCAGAGATGAATGAAGTAGAGAATTTTGGATACATTTTGAGGCTGAGGTCAATCTGATTTGCTAAAGGATTGGATATAGCAGGTGAGGGAGGGAAAAAGAAGAAAGAAAACAGCTAGGTTTATGGAGTTCTACTTTGCGCCAGGTGCATCTCATTGTTATCTCATTTAATATTCACAACAGCCCTAAAGTTGGTAATTGGTATTTTTTATCCATTATCTACAAATATTTATCAAACAACCATCATACCCCATGCACCCTTCTAGATGCTGGGAATAGAGCAGCAAACAACACAGACAAGGTCTTTGCTCACAAGGAGCAAGTATTCTTTTGGGAGAAGACCAACAATCTACAAATGAACAATAAATAAACTACAATAAAAAAGTAATAACTGCAGTGGGAGGAAAAACAAGGTATTAATGGGCTAGAGAGTAATGGGGTGCGGTATGCCCCTTCTTTTATATGGTATCCTAGAAAGCCTGAGGAGGTGACATTTGTACCTGAGGCTTGAATGATGGGTAGTTATTATCACCCTTATCTTACAGATGTGGAAACTGAGACTTAGCCATATAGATAGCACACAGAAGGTAGTTCTTCTGGAAGGGCTTCATGAAGTAGGTATGTAGCAGTTAGACTGTACCGGAAGACAGGCTTTGTATAACTGTGGAACTATCTAATGCTTTAGAAAGTCCAAATATACAAAAGTTGTTTCAAAGAGCCACTTACTCTGGCCTCAGAAAGGGACCCAAAAAGCTTTTCAACTGGCTAAAGGAAGTTCCTTGCAGACCAGCAATTTTATGTTGAATTATTTGGCCTGAGTGAGGTTGGTGGAGATTCCAGATTGGGTCTTAAGCACTGCAGGGTAGAACAAAGAACTATATTCAGTGAAATTCAATAAAAATCTATTCATCTCCTACTTTGTACCAGATACTCACACTTGCACCACCTGTTGCACAATATGGATGTAAAGATAAATGAGATGCCTTTTGTGCTGTTTTTCTTTCCAGATTAACTCTCTATTCTTTTCCACCCAGATTTGTTTCCAGGAGGCAGACCTTGCCCCCTGGATCCCAGCAGAGTTCAGCCTAAGGGAAGCCCTCACAGAAGGTCAGATGGAGTGGGGAGAGTATCTGTGACCCCCACTGAAGGTCCTAGCACCCCTCAAGTCACTCCTCCAATACCCCCCCCACACACACACATCTCTTGTTTTGTTTCTAGTTGCTTCCGGCCTTTATTGGTGACAGCTTCTCTGATACTCACCTTAAGGTACTGCTGTACCCCTGTGGTTTCCCAATACCTTTGTAAATAGGTTCTTTATTAAATCATTCTCAAATTCTCTTGTTTTCAATCAGGAGGAAAGCAAAAGGGCTAAGACGAAGGGCTTCTTCCTCTTGTGGCTTTTTCTTTTTATACAGGGAAAGAAGATCTCACAGCAGATTTTCACCTAAAAAAAAACCGAACTATTATACGGCCATCTCTAGATGCAAGGGAGCCTGGAAATTTTAGCATTTTCTTTTCTACCCTCAATAATAAAGGAAGGCAAAAGAGAAGGTGATTCAGGGGCGCCTGGGTGGCTCAGACGGTTAAGTGCCTGCCTTCAGCTCAGGTCATGGTCCCAGGGTCCTGGGATTGAGCCCCGCATTGGGCTCCCTGCTTGGTGGGAAGCCTGCTTCTCCCTCTCCCTCTCCCTGCTGCTCCCCCTGCTTGTGCTCTCTTACTCTATCTCTCTCTCCCTGTTAAATAAATAAATAGATAAACTGCTAAAAACAAAAGACAAACAGTGTTAAAAAAAAAAAAGGAATAAATGTTCAGTGAGCCAATCCACAAGACCTGCACACCTCAGGACCAAGATATTAGTTTATTAAATATTAATCACCTTAGAGAGTAATGCATAAATGGTTACTTTGTAAAGATCACAGATATACAAATATAGGGTCAACTAAAGAAAGTAAAATATTCTAATGGCAGGTAAATGGGCTTGGAATAAAATTTCTAGAGACAGCATCATATATTTTGCTATGTCTCAAACAACTGAGATAAAATAAAGATTAAATGCTCTCAGGAAACTGTTTTAAGTATCTCTATGAAAAGTGAAAACATTTTTACTATGTTTGTATCAAAAGTATGGGTTCCGGGGCACCTGAGTGGCTCAGTCGGTTAAGTGACCAACTCTTGGTTTCACCTCAGGTGGTGATCTTGGGGTCCTGGGACTGAGCCCTGTGTCAGGCTCTGCGCTCATTGGGGAGTGTGCTGGAGATTCTCTCTCCCTTTCTGTCTCCCTCTACCCCTCCCCCTTCTCGTGCTCTCGTTCTCTAAAATAAATACATAAATTATTTTTTAAAAAGTATCGGTTCCAGGGGCACCTGGCTGGCTCAGTCTGTAGAGCATGCAACTTTGGGTCTCAGGATCACAGTTTGAGCCTACCTTGGGCATAGAGATTACTTAAAAACAGCAACAATGATGACAAAAACTTGGTAGTTTAAAAAAAAACAATGTATTCTTTCTCCTGGTTCTGTGGGTTGAACTGGCAACTCTTCTGTTGTGTCTCTTGGACACACTCCTGTGGTTACCAGAGGCCACAGACCCTGTTGGGTGGCCCTTTCCTCCAACTACAGCTAGTTACAGATCTTTCTGGGTTCTTGTAACCCTTCCTTTCCTGACCCCTTCAGGCCTAGGGGTTCCTTCTAGTGTTCCTCGCTGATGCCAGACTCAATGTTTCACCACTCTGGTAGATATTCTTTAACCCTACCCACAACTTTACGAACAGTATGAACAGCTCTCTTGTTATATTTTCCTCAGTTCCCCCATTTGAGTGTGCAATCTGTTTTCCCCAAGGACTCTGAATGATATACCTCTGAATGTTAATGTTATAGAGGGAAAATTATCAAGTAAAAGATTAGAGGCAAAATTATATTACATCACTGTATGAGTAGCTAGAAGCATAGAGGAAGAAACCATTCTCAAGAAAAAAAAAAGAAAGAAAATAAGGAAGAGAAGAAGGGAGGAAAGGAAGGAAGGAAGAAAAGGAAGGAGGGAAGGAAGGAAGGACAGAAGGAAGGGGCTTGTTTCTGTCTGGAAAGATCTGAGATTTCACATGGTACTTGATAATTGAGCCGGGCCTTAAAGCTTGAGAAAGCCCTAGGGAAAAAAGCAAAAAGTTAAGGGAAGACTGTGTGTCCGGAAATACAGAGTGGACCCTGCAGCACTCTGTGTGTATGGGCTGTCTGGAAATTAAACCTGGATATTAGACTGGGATCAAATCAGGGAGGTCTTTGAATGCCAGCTTTAAGAATCTGATTTGTGGGGCGCCTGGGTGGCTCAGTTGGTTAAGCATCTGACTCTTGATTTCAGCTCAGGTCATGATCTCAGAGTCGTGAGATCAAGCTCCACATGGGGCTCTGTGC